CACTTCGACCGCGCAGCAGCCTGTGTGCGTCGACGCGCCTGATCGGCGACCGTCCCGCGTTGGAGGTTTGGGCCGCTTTCATGATATAGCCGTGGGCGATGAGATGCGGGTGGGGTCGAGGCGCCTCCCAGGCTGGCGCCCAATCGCATCGTGGTGGGCCTTTCGACTCGGGTGCCGGAGCACTTTGCTGTCCTCACGCCCGGCTTCGACATGTACATTGAAGAGAGAGTGCGACCCGGGGAACCCGGACATCCGCAACTGTTCAAAGGAGCGGGGAGGTGCCGCAGAGCCGATTGGTGCCGTCATGGCTGCGGGCATTCGACGGTACGACTTCGCCGCGATGCCGACTGTCGCCCAGCTCGCCAGGGTCTGTGCGATCGGCGTTGCGAAGCTCGCGGAGCCCGCCAGCACCACCACCACCAGTCGTGTGACCAGGTCGATAGCTCTAATTTGGCCTCGATGGAGATCGTCGCTCGGCAACTGCCGCGCTGTGGGGAACGGTACAAGGACAAGCTGGTCAGCTCGCGCCCCCTGGGCAATGGTGGCGACGAGCAGTTCTTTTTCGCGGGCATGCAGTCCACGCGCTGGCCCATGGTCGCGCCCGTCCTGGCCGAGTGGATTTCGACGCAGCTTGCCGCCGAGTCGGCCATCGCGAAGGCGCGCCGCAAGGCGCGTGAGGAGCGGCAGCTGCTTCACCCGCGGGCCGGTGGCCGTGGATGGGGGCAGGGCGGCGGTTCGGGCAAGGCTGCCAAGACCTAGCCCTCCCACACCGCGGTGCTCACAGCGGCCGCTGGGGATCCGGCCATCCCGGAGGGCCCCCCTCTGGCCCCTCGCTCCTGACGACGTGGCCCTCTCGCCATGGCCGTCAGTCGTCAACGAAATGTCGTCCCTCTTCCGTTTTTTTCCTGATGGCGATGCCCGCCTCGCTGGCGCAGGCGCTGCCGCGCGGGCATGCATCGACTGGGTCAGCGACGGCATCGAGGCGCTCGACTGGCTGGCTGGGGGCGGGTCGCTTCCGCTGCGAAGGCGACCTACGGTTTTGCAGCGTCAGTCCTTGGACAGCGCCGTTGATCAGGATGTCAAATTCGGCAGGCCGCCCTCTGGCATCTCTCGCAGGCGCGCCCTCTCCGCCATGTGCTCCAGTTGCCCGCTCTTCTCTGCGCGGCGGGGTGACGTGGCTTCCTGCGGCGAGGACCTCGTGCCCTGGCCTTCGGGCAGCTCGGCGCCCGTCGCGCTGGAGGACGCCCTTCTGGAGGCTGACCGTTCATGGCTGCAGCCCCTGGCGAGACCTCGGATTTGCTCAGCCTGGCATCGATCCTGAACTACGACGCCCTGCCACCTACGGCGGGTTCATCGCCGAGCTGCTGGGGCGAGGCATGCTGCGCGTCTCTCCAGCTCGCGGCCGCCGCGGGCTCCCGGGTGGTCTTCGTCGCGGCTAAGAAGTCGGGGCAGCGGCGCCTCATCTTCGACGCAGGCGCCAGCGACGCCGACATCGAGCCGCCGCCCTGCACCGAGCTGCCCGGCGGCGGCGCGCTCGCCCGCGCGGAGACGCAGGCCAGCGGGGGCGCGTGGTTCAGCAGCGGCGACATCTCGAACGCTTTCTACGCCATGCAGGTCCCCGGGGGCCCCTGCGAGTACTTCTCCCTCGCTCCCGCGCGGGCGGGCCTTGCTGGTGTTTCCCATGTGGGTGGCGTCGCGGATCACGGGTCCGACTGGTTGCCCCCCGAGCTTACCGCCCTTCCCATGGGCTGGTCCCGGGCGCCGCGTCTGCGCCAGTCCGTCTCCGAGACGGCGCTTGCCCCAGCGCGCGTCGCCCCCGCGCGGCAGGTGCGGGGCCGCAGCTTGGGCGTCAGGCCGGGGCCCGAGCTCCCCGCCACCGGCGCGGCCTACGTCGACAACTAGCTTGTGGCTGGCTCGCGGCGCGCCAAGGTGCAGGCGGTGGCCAGCAAGGTCGAGCGCGAGCACTCCTTCCTCGGATTCGTCGTAAGCGGTGCTCGCTGGCCATCTTCGACTCCGTCTACGCCTTCGCCCAGGCCGCCAGGGGCGACGCCCTGCCCCTCTGGCCCGCCGTGCGCCGCGAGCTCTGGCGCGCGCGCTCGCTGCTGCCCTTCTTCGCCGTCTTCGCCGACGCTGACTGGCGCGACGAGGTCGCCGCCAGCGACGCTTCGGGCCGGGGCGGCAGGGCGCGCCGCCGCCGATGCGACCCAGAGGTGGCCGCGCAGATCGGCCGCGCCGCGAAGAGGTGGCGATGCCTCGTCGAGGAGTCCGCCCGCGCGCGGAAGCGCGCCCTGGGAGCGGCCGACGCTGCCGCCGCGCTGCGCGATCCTGGAAGGTTGCCGCCCGAGGAGGCCGAGGGCTGGGGCGAGTCCTGGGGCGAGGTCTACCCCGACCTTCTCGTCGGCGATGTCTGGGCTATCACGCACTCCTTTCCGTGGAGGGACTCCTTCGACATGTGCCGCGCCGAAGGGGTGGCGGTGGCCTCTGCTCTCCGCCGCCAGCTCAAGTCTGCCGATGTATTCGGGAGGAGGATTGCGTGCCTGGTCGACGACGTGTCGCTCGCCCTCGCGATAGGCGAGGGCCGCGTGTGGTCGCCGCAGCAGCGCGGCGCCCCGCGGGAGATCTGCTCCCGCGCCCTCGCCCGTCGTTTGCGCGTCGTCACCGGGTTGATCCCTGGCGAGCTCAACCCCGCGGGCGCCCCCTCGCGTGGCCACCCTGGCAGCTGGGGCGGGCGCCTTGACGGCGCCTGTCCCGCGTGCGGCCGCGGCGCGCCAGCGGGGGGCGCTACGAGGCGGCCTCCTGATGGGCCTCGTCTACCTCGAGCAGCGGTCCGTCAGCAAGGCTACGCTGGCGGACTACCAGAGGCGGGCGGGCGCGTTCATCGGGCGGCGCTCGCAGCTCAACCTGGACTGGAGCAGCTGGGAGCAGCTGGGCTCGATGGCGGTGACCTGCTTCGACGACCTGCACTTCCGCGGCCGCTGCGGGGGCGACGCCTCTCGCTCCTAGCCGCGCTGAAGTTCTTCCCCCCGCCCATCGGCCGCTGGGGCGACCGGGCGCTGTGCCGAGCCCCCCGCATCCTGGCGGAACGGGGAAAGTACGCGCCCTGGAGGATGCGCACTCCGCCCACCTGGTCGCTGGTGGCGGCGCTCGCAGGAGCGATGCTCCAGCGCGGCCAGATCGAGCAGACGATTGCGATGATCCTGGGCTTCGCGTGCCACTTTCGCCCGTCCTAGTGCGACCTCCTCGCGGCCATGCAGGTAGCCCCCCCCGTCGCGGCGGGCGCCGAGGGCTCGGGGCTTGCCGCGCTGTTGCTCTATCCAAACGAGCTCGGGCGCCCCGGGGGGACGGGGCATTGGGACTTCGCGGTTGTGACCGACACCGTCGTCTTCTTGGCGCTGGCGCTCCTGGGGCTGGAGCGGCGGGCGCCCTCCGGAAGATCGCGCCTGTGGCCCCCCCCCGCCTCGCTCGGCCGGGGCATGGATGGGGCGGCCTATGCCCCAGGCCTGAAGGACTTCCCTGTTCCAGCGCGCGGGCTGCGCCATGAGGGAGCATCGGACGACCTCCTGGCGAAGACGCGGGCGGCCCTCAACGTCCGGCGGGGCGGCGGCTGGGCTTCCGACGAGAACACTAGACGCTACGCCAAGCAGGCGCGCATCATGGCCGAGCTGCAGCGCGTCGCCCAGCAGGCGATCTCGTTCGGCCAGGCCATGGACGCCGCCCTGTCGCATATCTTCTTGAACGGCGCGAGCCTGCCCGCGCTGCGCCTGACCTCGAGCGGGCGCCAGAACTGGCGGGCTGGCGGGCATAGACGAGGGCAGCCCGTCGACGAAAGCCATTCGTCGCCACCTCCTCAGAGAGCTTCATGGCAGTTCCAAGCGTCAGAAGGACCCCCCATCGGACCGCCGTCCTGGAGCCGTCCGCCGGGACGGGCCGCCTGACGGCGGCGCTGCGGCGCAAGGGCATCGCTGCGCTGCCGATGGATTTCGCTTGAAAGCCATTGTTCAACCTCGACCTGCCAGTCGTCCGTCGCACTATCCGAGGCTGGCTGCGTGTGCGTGTGTACTGCGGTCTGGGTGGCCCTACCGTGTAGTTCCTGGTCCAGGCCCGCCCCGGGCCGCCGGGGTCTTCTTGGTGCACCATCCGCTCGAAGGGCCACGTTTGGGGGCGCCCCGGTTTTGGGGTCAGGCTTCAGGCGGCCGTCGGCCTCGGGAACCAGCAGCTCATCGCGCTCTGCCGCTTGCTCGAGATCCCGATCTACCTCGAGAACCCAGGGCCATCGTGGGTTTAGGCGGCTGCTGGGGGCCCAGGACGACTCCATCTTCAACCTCGACATGTGCGCGTTCGGGGCCCGTTGGAGGAGGTTCACCTGTGTGGCTTGCTGGGCCCGCCATCACCCCGAGGCTTCTGTGAAGCCCCGTTGCAGTTGTAGGAAGGGTCTCTACTCTTTCTCAGGGAAGCCCCACATCGTCCTCTCTGGCCTCGGCCCCGCGACAGGGATCTTGTGGACCCGCCTCGCCGAGCCTTATCGTGTGCGTTTTGGCAAGTGTTTGTATGATTGAGTTGCGAGGCGAATTTAAAACGCATGGTGACCCCTCCCTGTCCGATTTCCAGTAAATGCTCCTACAAAGGGGGGGGTGAAAATCCTTGCCCAAGTATGCTGGCCTTTGCCGTCGGACGGTTTTTCGTTTTTCGATGTATGTTATATCGGCGCCGCTTCGCGTCGCCATTTCTCCTCTCGGGCTCGGGTCTCCTCCTCGGTGGTGTTGGTGCTTTGGTCCCTGGTCACCCTCCTCTCCTCCTCCTATGGGTCTCGTTCGCTCGCCGCTGCGCCCTTCGGTGGAATTGCCCGGCCCGGGACGCCCGCCACACAGAAATGCTGGGGTGGCCTGGGGTGCAGCGGGAGATAGCAGTGTTTTGCACATCACAGCTCCTTTGGAGACGAGGGCCGTCGCGGTCGCGCCGATGCGCCGCAACCGCGCCTACTCAAGTCTTTTTCTGGCCCGCCCTCCTCTCCCTCTTCTTTCTCCTCGGTGCCGTGTTGGTGCTTTGGTCCCTGGTCTTCCTCCTCTCCTCCTCCTGTGGGTCTCGTTCGCTCGCCGCTGCGCCCTTCGGTGGAGTCGCCTGGGTCGCCCGACACACAGAAATGCTGGGGTGGCTTTGGTGTAGCGGGGAATGATGATGCTGCTGATGATGATGCTGCTGACGACGATGGCGAATATGGACGACGGTGCTGCGGCTCATACTGATGGTGATAATGGTGATAGTGGTGATGCTGCTGCTGCGGCTGCTGATGATGATGGTGAGGAGGAGGAAGGAGAAGGAGGAGGAGGAGGAGGAGGAGGAGAAGGAGAGAGGTGCGAGGCATGAGGACGAGTATACTCAGCATGATGAGCCGGATAATTTGCAGGAGGCGGAGAAGAGTGAGGATGAGGAGGAGTACGAACGATGACTCATCGGACGAGTTAACGGAGGATGCGGGGGAGAAGCAGGATGAGGTTCCGATATGAAGTCCGCAGTTCTTAGACCTATTTGTGTGCCTGAAGCGCTCCCCACATCCGATGTGGGGCGTCGCGTTGCCTTTTCAGGGTGCCCCCGCTCCAGGTCACCTCTCTCACCCCCTTCAGACTGACCTCACTTTCACCATCATCGCCACCCTCACCATCACTCACCGTCACCCCAGGGCCATTCCCACCTGGTCTGCCCTAGGCCCGGACGCTGTCCGCAACGGTGGTCGCATCGCATCGCATCGCATCACACCCTGACCCTCACCCTCGCTCTCGCTCTCGATCGCTCTGTCTATACAGTTGGCTATATGTCTAAATCTCTCTCTCTCTCTCTCTCTCGCTTATTCCTTCTGTCGCGGGGGTGAACAAGGGTCAGGAGGGAAAGAAACACACAGACACAATTAATCGTCGACTCCCAGGAAAATATGGGAAAATATGGGAAGTGGGGGGGACGACAAAAAACCCAGAAAATATTGGATAATATGGGGAATCTGTTTGTTTGCGTGTATTCATTTGTGTGTCCTGGGGCCCCTTCAAAGGGGGAGGGAACAGGCAGTCCCAGGCAACCCAGGGGGGGGTAACCAGACGCAGGCAGGGCAGCTGGCCTTAGCCCCCTGTCTGCCTGTCTCTCTCCCTCTCTCTCTCTCTTTCTCTCTTGGGCGGGGGGCGATGAAGGGCGGTCAGTCCTCTCTCCGCCCCTTCCTAACTCCATCTCTCCCCCCTCTCTCTCTCTCTCTCCCTCTCCCTCTCCCTCTCTCTCCTCTCTCTCTCTCTCTCTCTCTCCCTCTCCCTCTCTCTCTCTCTCCTCTCCCTCTCTCTCTCCCTCTCTCTCTCTCTCCCTCCCTCTCCCTCCCTCTCTCTCTCTCTCTCCCTCTCCCCCCCCCCCCTCTCTCCCCTCTCCTCGTGCTCATGCTCACCTTCGCTGCCGCCCTCGCTGCGATCCTCTCTCTCACAGCCTCATTCTCGCCTTCACCCTCACCGCTCCTGCCTCCTTGCCCTCAGCCTGCCCCTCTCGCCCTCCCCCTCCCCTTTGTGCAGTGTGGGGCGACGTCTCGAGGCGACATTGCGCAGTCGTCCTGAGTGCACTGCGAGGACATCCCGAGCGGCTGCCGCCTTCCACCTTGGCAGAGGGGGGGCCGGGGGAATCCGCGCGGCTGTTCGAACCACTGGATTGGTATTCGAGTACAACTGGAGAAAGCAGCCGCTGTTCGGTATTCGTGTGCGGTATTCGCACCACGGGCGCGGCTGTTCGAACCGGCTGTAGAAACGCAGTGCAATGGTATTCGAGTGAACTGGAGGGACGTCGCCAACGGCAGCCGCATCGCCGAGGAAGCTGTCTGTGCGGAAGCTGTGCGCGGCAGCCGTGCTCCTACTGCCCCCGAAAGGGCCCCTAGGTTTGTGTCTCGGCCAAGCGCCCGCGAAACACTTTAGGAGAGCGGGGGTGAAGATGATGAGGGGGTTGACGGGTAGGGGAAGGAAGAAGAGCTGAGAACCTTCCCGTGAGGATATATTCCGGAAGACGGGGTCATTCGCGTGCCGACGCTGTGTGGGCTCAATGCACATGAACCTTATCATTGCGTTTCGGACATTGTTCCGATTTGAACGGTTACTCACCGGTCGTGGGTATTTTTGGATTTCCAGATCAGTCTATTTTAGGCGCCTTCCTCTTTCAACGTCTTCCTTCTTCATGTTTCTACCCACTTGTTCCGACCGAGGGGTACATGGTCGCATCTCCCGCTCATGTCCACCACAACGAGGGAAGGGGGAGGAATCGTGAAATGACCCTGTCGACCAATGCCGCAATGGTGCGCATGGTGAGGATGATGATCAGGAGTAGGGGTACGACAAATAACATAAACATAAAACTCGGAGGTCCGCGCGGATTTCTCGGATCCGCGCTGGAACCCCTGGCGGCGCCTCCGCCGCCGCCCTTGGCGCGCTCCGCGCGCCAGGGAGGGGGGTCCAGTGCGGATCCGAGAAATTCACGCGGACCTCCGATTTTTTATGTTTATGTCACTTTTTGTTCCCCTAAGGAGGAGGAGGAGGAGGAGGAGGAGGAGGAGGAGGAGGAGGAGGAGGAGGAGGAGGAGACCGAGAGGGGCGACCCCGAGAAGCAGGATCGCGAGGGCAGCATGGGAGGGAGAGGGGACCCGAGATGCGGTGGAGGCGGGCGAGCGGGAGGGGGACGGTGGGCCCAGCTCGTGCTCCCTGCCCTCCCCCTGTACATTTAAGTCGGGCCTGTCCCCCTACAGGGGGATTTTGGGCGAAAAACCAGACATACTCAAAAAATGCTCCAAAAATGCTCAAACCTAGTCCAGGCATAGTCCCCCGACTATTTTTTGTCTATTTTTGAATCTTTCCCCTGCAGAGGGACAGGCCCGACTGAACCGGACATTGTGAAGTCTCGCTGGCGGCTGGCCCAGCTGCTCTCCTCGCGCCCGGCGACGGGGGGGGCGCAGGGAGCTGGCGGGCCGGGCGAGCGGGGGGGAGTGGGAGAGGGGGGGGTACGAAATCTGCGGCGTGCAGCTGGTTTCGGCCTCACCGAGGGGCCCATGCCTCGATACATACATAGCCGCCTCCGGCGCCGGGAGGCGCCGGGGAAATCAGCGACGTGAGCGGATGCTCAACCCCCCCCCCATTGCTATCCCCCCCTTTCGCCCGACCCGAGAGCTGGTGGGCGGAGGAGGAGGAGGAGGAGGAGGAGGAGGAGGAGGAGGAGGAGGAGGAGGAGGAGGAGGACGTGTGCTGGCGCCGGACGCGCGAGAGGCCCCGGGTCGGGGCCCTCTGCCAGGCAGCTGTCCACCGCCGCCCCGCAGTTCGTGACGGCGCCCGCGCCGCCTCGCCTATCCTTGCGCAGGGTTGCAGGAGGAGGGCGGAGGAGGAGGAGGAGGAGGAGGAGGAGGAGGAGGAGGAGGAGGGATTAGGATGGAGGAGGACGATGGAGGACGGAGGAGGATGGGGGAACGGGGACATGGTCCATTTCTGTTCGATCGATCCGATTCGACGAAGTGCACCCGGCTCCATTCGATCCGATTTTGATTTTCTGGCAATCCGATGCGGCCCGATGTTTGCATGGCGCTGCTGTGCATCCGGGCGCAGCCACTCCGATTTGACTCCGTGCCGATGCAGCCCGATCGGACTCACATTCCTTTTCTATAAATGGAATGTCCAGCGAACGCCCCGCTTTGAAAAGGAGCTGCCTTCTGTCCATGTGTATGGTCTTTCACTCGAAGAAAGCAAGCGGACGGAAGAGGCATGGTTGGACAGTTCGAGGCAGTCTCACGCGATGGCCCCGTTTTGGAAAGCAACCGTTGCCCATCTGCGTAACCGTTAGAATCTTTGACTGCGAATGTGCGCGGCACGAGGGCGCGAACAGTGTTTCGAAAACAGCCCGTGCTCCACTCTCGTACCTGTTGGACGATTCAGCGCCAGGTGTGTGCGGCGCTAGGGCGAGAACCACACCCTGAAGACGACCTGCCCCCTCCTCGCGCAGCGGTTGGAAGGCTCAGAGACGAACTTGCGAGGCGCGACGGCGACAGCTGCAGCGTGAAAGCCACATGGCCTCCACCCGATTGGCTGTTGGGCCTCCTTTCAGGTGGAGGAAAAAACACGCAGACACAATTAATCGTCGATTCCCCAGAAAACATGGGAACATATGGGCAGTGGGGGGGAAGACAGAAGCCCAGAAAATATGGGGAAATATGGGGAATCCTTTTGTTTGTGTGCATTTATCTGTGTGTCCCAGGGCCCCTTCATCCTTGGCAAGCTTCGAGCGCACAGCCAGGGAGGAAGCCTGGAGCTGGACGCCCGACCGGCGAGCCTTTGCCGAAGACGTCTCTACGGCGACCCGCCGCCGCCCCCCCCGCCTCCTGGAAACGCCTGGGAGGTGAAGTTGTCGAGCGAGGCTTAAGTCGGGCGTGTCCCCCATACAGGGGGATTTTCGACGAAATAAACATACCCCAAAAATTGTAAAAAAGGTCCAAACATAGTCTGGGGCCTATTTTTTGGGGTAGTGTTTGACCTTTTGGGGGTATGTCGGCGGTATTTTTTATTTTCGCCCAAAATCCCCCTGTGGGGGGACACGCCCGACTTCAAGCGAGGGTGCAGCCACGATAGTGAACTGCGTACTCCCTCACCGCTCGTGGACATCACCAGGGGAACCATGAGGAGGGGCCCTTAGGGGGGCATCCTCGGTGCTCCATCGGCACCCCTTTCGGGCCACGGGGGCCTTCTCGGGGGGAGTCTTGGGGCAACGGCACCTCGCTCCGCGGCTGTCGCTTCCATCTCACGGTTCAACTCCGAGGTGTTTTGCTGAAATGTGGTGTCGTATCGTGCTTTGTGGGATTCCACGGCCTGAGAGAGTTTCCTCTCGTGCTTTCTTCCCAAGCGAGCTGCACCACGCGCTGGCTGCAGGGTGGGCGACGAAGCATTGTTTGTGCGATGTGCCTGGCGACCCCCCGCAGCTCACTTTTTGTACGTCTTGCACCAGGTCGCGCAACCATTTTATTCTTGCTGATGTGGAAAGTCCTGCCGACAGCGGCGCGAAAAATGGCTCCCGCCGGCACCAATCCGTCGTCCGCCGTCGGTGTCCCTCCCTCCCTTCCTCCTCCCTCCCCCCGTGGAGCCGCAGCTTTGTGCTGGCTTGGCTGGCTGATCGATGCCAGCGGGAGCCATGGACGCACCGCTGTCGGCAGGTCGTTCCCCCTCTCTCTTCTCCCCTCCTTGAAGGGGCCCCAGGACACACAAATAAATACACACAAATAAAAGAATCCCCCATATTTTTCCATGTTTTCTGGGTTTCTGTCTTCCCCCCCACTTCCCATATTTTCCCATATTTTCTGGGAATCGCCGATTAATTGTGTCTGTGTGTTTCTTCCCCTCCTGACTCCTTCGTCCGCCGTCGGTGTCCCTCCTTTCCGCCTCCCTCCCTCCTTGGAGCTCTTGTGTCTTGCACTCTTGGCCAGCTGGCGGGTGCCGGCGGGAGCTGCGACGCGCCGCTGCTGCCAGGGAGTTGTCCTCCTCCCCCGCCTCCTCCCTCGTCTTCGCCCCTGCTCGTTCTTCCCCCCAATCAGTGCATCGGCACTGCGTGCATGCTGGCCGAGGCAGTTGTCCTCGCCAGGCACTGTCCGACCCTGTAGGCCGCCGCCCAAGTTTCTTGAGTCCGCCTCAGGCTTGCGCAGTGCTCTTGGCGGGGTTTGGCTCTCGCATGGCCGCCCCATATCATTCTGCTCCATCTTGATCCTGACGCGTGCTTGGCACCCAAATTCAGTGCAAAACCATTTGCACGTCTGAGCTATTTCAGCAATTTCATAACTAGCTAGATATGCTTGCCTTGCCATGGGCGCCATGGCTTGCACTGTATTTGATTTTGACGTGCTATGAGCATACGACTCTCGGAGCCTCCTGGCTGTGAGCGTGTCTTCGCCTTTCTTCGCCATGCTGTTTCAACCAGCTGGCTCCCTCTTCTGCTTTCCTGCTCGTCCTCTCCGTCTCCATCCAGGTCTCACCGATACGAAATGGGGTGAGTTCGTATCGCTCCGCGTTCGCATGCTGGCATTGGGATTAACTATGTATCATGCTCCGGGCTTTTCGTCGTATCCGCATGAGGCGCTCAATTTTCCTCTTGGTGCAGCTGCTCGTGCACATAATCCGTGACACATGCATCTGCCTTGTGCCTACAATGCGTCGCGGGAAAAAAAAGGTTATCGTTGATGTCCTATCGTCGGCAGTGGTGGTACGGATTTGATGTACCAACCGCAAGAGCTTTCCCACATACCACATACCTTTCAGACAACGGCAAGTACGCGTCGGAACAAGTGTGGACCAACTAAAACTACTAGCAGGACTCGGGATCAAACTGTCTTCCTTTTGTAGGGGCAAGACCCATGTATTATATAAGATGGTAGATAGTGGACGCCCAGTGGACTTAAGGCCTTTTGAGCGCCCTGCACATGATCGAGACAACCATGCAATGGCATCGTCTTGCCGTGATACTGCTGCTAGTGCTGGTGGTAATGATGGTCTCCAGGGTTTCCTGGGGGCCTCTTGGGGTCCTCTGAGGGGCCTCTTGGGAGTCTCCTGGGGTCTCTCGGGGCCTCCTGGGGCCTCTTTGGGGCCTCCTGGGGGCTTTGGGGGCCTCTAAAGGACCTTTGGCTCGGAGGCCTTCTTGGGGGCAGTCTTGTGGGGCCCTCTTTTTGGCGCTTTAGTGCTGTCCTGGGGGTCTATGTGGCCGTCTGGGGGCTATCTTTCGAGCCTGTTGTGGGCCTCTTGGCCTGTCTTGGGGCGATCTTGGGGGCCTACAGAGCCGTTTTGGAGCGTCGGGAGCCCGAACAGGCGAGAACGCGAAAATCATTGAAACACATTGTAAGTCAATGATTTGGGCATCCTGCGTGTCCTCTTGTAGCCCTCTCGGGGGCCCCTTGGGGGCCGTCTGGAGGACATCCTGGGCCGTCCTGAAGCCATCTTAGCCGTCTCGGAGGCGCCTTGGGGCCGCCCGGAAGGCCATCGTGGAGGCCTCGTGGAGGTGATCTTGGTCCTTTTGGAGGCGTCGGAGGAGGAGGAGAAGGACGAGGAGAAGGAGGAGGAGGAGGAGGAGGAGGAGGAGGAGGAGGAAGAGGAAGAGGAGCAGGAGGAGGAGAGGAGGAGGAGGAGGCGTCAGGGACCTCGCCTCGCACCTTTTTCGTGCGGCTCTCCGGGTGGCCGGCGCGGTCGGCCGAGCCCCCGGGCTCGCCAGGCCCTCCGCTTCGGACAGCTCAGCAGGGGCCGGCGGAGGCCGGGGGCATGCGGCCCACGCCGCCACCATGCCTGGTGTTGCAGGTCGGAGGCCGTCGGTCAGAGCCCCGAATCATCAGGGGTAACTCGGGTCAGGGTTAGCTCGGGTTCGATTTTCGGGATTCCAAACCCGAGTCACCCCGGGCCCGAGTTACCCCGGATAATTCGGGCGCCCAGAGCCCCAATTCATCAGGGGTAACTCGGGTCAGGGCTAACTCGGGTTCGATT